CGATCATGGATTACAAGAAAAGAAAACAAACATTTCGATCATGGATTACAAAAATTCTATTATGGGTTACAAAAAACCAAAAAATTCGATCATGGAATAACAAAAAAACAAAAACAATTCGATCATGGATTAACAAAAAAATAAAAAATAAAAAAAAATAACAAAAAAAAAAAATAAAAAAAAAAAAAAAATAATATATATATATATATATATTTATATATTTCCGTACGGACTCGCCGATTCCGTACAGTGAATCGGCGATCCACTGTACAGATTCGTCTGGTTCTCACTAAAACCGGACGATTTTCGATTTTTTAGGCGATCCGGTCCCCTTTCACGATTTCCGAGTCGAACCGGACTCGGCGTTTTTTAAAACGCTGGTTTAGAGTCTTTAGACAATTTCTTTTCTTCTTTTTGGTTTGGTGGCAATTAAGCTAAAAAATTTTGTGTTGCACTCAACGCTTTGAGATGTGTATTAACTGTGGTCGCTCTGGACCACAACATATTTGTTCAGACAATTTCTCCGCTTTCTCTGGTTTGGTCGCAATTAAGCTAAAAAAATTAGCATTGCACTCAATGCTTCGATGGTCTAAGTTGCGTGACTGTTCCTGTCACGTCATCTCCACGCTTTCGTATATAAATCAATCAACTCTTTCGCCCCTCTTCGAGCGTCCCTCTCGCTCTACATACCCTCAAATTATTCTATCCGAGAAAACATCGGATCCCTGTCTTTCTCTCTATTCTGTTGACTCATTTTGATTCTCTCTCTTTCTCTCTCTCGAAATGGGGAAGAACATTCTGGTGACTGGTGGAGCTGGTTACATGGGTAGCCACACGGTCCTGCAACTACTGCTTGGAGGATTCAATGTTGTGGTGGTCGATAAGCTAGACAATTCTTCAGATATCGCCATTAAAAGAGTCACTGAGCTTGCTGGAGAATCTGGAAAAAACCTTGTTTTTCACGAGGTAAGGTTGGGATTCATCGATCAAACCTGGTTGGATCTTCGTTTGCATCATTGATTTTGGCTAATCATTGCTGTGATTTTTGTGATCTACTTGATTTGTACTTTATCAATGCCTAGAGCATTTCTTTAGTGGATTTAATTCTGTCCTTCAATGCAATTTTTGATAATTTACAGAGAAATCTTAAGTTTTGGTTTCTTAGTGCTGGTTCTATTATTCGTCCCTGTTGCTGTGATTCTTTTCATTTGTAAAATCCTGAAAGAAAAACAGGGCTTTTAGAACTGTTTCTATTTTTAATACGATTTTCTTATCCTTCCCTGATTAAGTCTATTATTAGACTTCTAAAGTTCGGTTTTTTTTTTTGTCTTAAATTTTTTTGATTTGGAATTTAAATCTACTCTTTACTTTTTTACTAAATTCATCATTTAATGTGTTGAACCTATTGTTGGTCTATAATGATCGTGTTTTTGTTAGATCTTTGATGAAGTAAAACCCTTGTTTAGTTTTCATATATTTGTATTCAGTAAAGTCATATTGGTGATCTAGGAATATATTTTAATTGCACACTTTCATTAGAAAAAGTATCTTATTTCTTTATTTATTTATGCAGCTCACACTTTACCATCTTCACAAAAACAATCATTTTTCTCAAGAGATATGTGATTTCCAATTGCATGTATCGATCAATGTAATGATTTGAACATGGAGGTTTGCACATTTTTAAACTGCTTTATCTGTCCATTACTCAGGATTTGTACAAGCAGATCTTTGTTCCCATGCATTTTTAGTGAGGATATCCTTTTACGATCATATATTCTCTCTTTTGTCACTATTTTTATCTTTGTTGGTATTTTTGTCACTGTTTTACTAGTCTTTTTAATAAGATAGCCTTGTTTCATGTTTATGCTTTATGGACTGGAAAGAAGATTAAAAAACTATGGAAAAGTTGAAAAGGTATGTTAATTCAGAGGTAATTTTTCATCAATGACATGGTGGGGTTAGTGGTCAATCATTAATAATTGGTATTTTCATTTTTGGTAAGAAATTAGTGCTTTATGAAATTTCTACACAAAGGAATATGGTAAGGGGATAAAATGAAGCACTTTTAATATTTTTTTGGAATTAGTTGAATACTTTTGTAATGTTCTGAGGAACATTTCTGATAAATCATTTTCAATAAATATATCTTCGAAAATTTTATCGTTATATAGATTTCCACTTGGTAAACTCAACGGCATAAATTCTTATTATAGTTGAAAGTCTCTAAGTACAACTGCAGACTGCCGATTCTTTTATATCAAATGAAACGAAGTTTATTTTTTCTGATAATTTTTGGAATTGGTATTTATATGCATGCAAGCATGCATAATGCATATATACAGATATGTACAATTCAAAAAAACAGAAAAGAAAGAAAAAAACATTGAGGTGTGTTTAGCTTTGTATTTCATATATATGCGTAGACTTGCAGTTTAGATTTTATGACTAGAAATGTTGATTTCATTCAGATGTTTATTTTATTACTTTCATTCACGATATTTCGTTCCGCATGGATGATGGAGGAAATGATTCAAAGATGCTACGGGACTATGATTATCTACTAATTCAGTCTTGTGATAGGGATGGCATCATTCATTTATGACTACAAAAAATGTTATGCAATTCCACTCATACTTGAATCCTAGTGTTGAAGCATACTGCTTTGATTTCTCTTTTGTTTATTTGTTCCTTCCTGTGATATTGTCTTGAGCTTTGTGGCATATTTTACAATGCTGAAGTTTCTACTTTCTTCTACAGGTTGACCTGCGAGATAAGGTGGCCTTGGAGAAAATCTTTTCTTCTTCGAGGTAATCTTTCACTAATTTTTCAGTTTCTTTTGGGAACTTAATTAATGCTAAATACATCTGATGAATATTCCAGTGGACTTTCCTTTTACCAACTTAGTTAATACTAAATACATCTGATTAATATTCTAAGTGGCTCTAGTTTTGCATAAATCTTGGTCTATTGAGCATCAGCATTAACTTTAGTCTAATTTTTCAGTTTGGTTTTGGCTGATAGGCTTTTTATTCGCACTTAGTTAACGCTAGATGCATTTAATTAATATACTAAATGACTTTGAATTTGCATTAGTTTTAGTGTAATGAGCATCAGCATAGCCATTTGTTGCACTTGCCAATGAATGCAGTGTTTCAATGGATTTTCTTGGACTTTGTCATCACGTACTCAAAAAATAGATTTTCTTGGACTTTGATGAGATGGATTTGCAAATAGAACAATAAGGGTGATTTCTATACTACTAGGCAGATACGATAGGCAAAACTTCATCAGATTTAAATAGTTGATGTATTTGTTTGTTCAGTTAGTTTCTCTCAGCAAATTCATAATTTGTTATTGCTTGGTAGGCTAACATACTTTGGGATTGCAATGATGCATCTATGTTATATTATCATCTAAGTCGCTTTCCCTTGTAGACTACTAGATTTGTAATTTTCCTTCATTTTATTTCTTGCTGCAGTTTTGATACTGTCATTCACTTTGCTGGATTGAAAGCAGTGGGTGAAAGTGTACAGAAGCCATTGCTTTACTATAACAACAATCTAATTGGAACTATTAATCTCTTAGAAGTGATGGGTGCACATGGTTGCAAAAGGGTAAGTCTAAGATCTTTCAAACCATATAGAAATTGATATTCTTTGTCTATTTATCTGCAAAACTGGCTCTATGGTGGACTGCATCATAGAAATTACTTGACTTCATCTCCTTTACCGTGTGCAAGATGCTTACATTTCCAGTTCCATAGTAGTGATTTCTTTCTTTAGACGAGAAGGAATAATAGAGTTAATAATAAATACCCTTTAAGATGACTTTGTTCACTACTTCGTACTATGGAATGGCGATGAAACAGCACGATTTCTAGGTAAACACCTATTTATCTGACATTTTTGGAGTATTTTGAAGCCAGGTAATGCAATTTTTTGTGTTATTTACAGTCGTTTGAAATTATTCTGTGACAACATGATGCAGATCTAATTATGTGGCAATAGTTCCATATTCAATAGCTATATATTTTGCCGCCTGTGGATCTCGTATACATCATGGTGTTCAAAATTATGCCCCTGCAAACTGCAACAGGAGCCTTGCATTGCAATTTTGGAAGCTTAGGTTCACTGTCATTTTAATTGCTATAATTGCTCCCATGCCGAATTCAGGCAATCTCATTTAATGAAGCTAGTTGTTATATTCACGTTTGATCTTAGAAGCAAAAATCTTCATACTAGGAAGACAGATGTTCATGAGCGTGCACCAAACTGTTGCTTTGCTCTTTACATGCTGGAGCATGAAGGAATCATGGTCTGGTCATGGTTGAACTTTGTTTTGGTCTTCTAATATGCATTAGATTGTGATATTTTATACCTTCTTTGCATGAGATCAATGCACAAGATAGATGTATGCTCACATAAGCACATATGCCCAATACATATTTGAAACTTTAAAATCTATTGCCATTTTGTGTTCCCCATTTGCATGCCCTGATCCTTCATGGAACAACACTATTTGTTGAGATGTATTTTAACCCATTGCCATATGAAATAATATGTACTCTGTAGCAGTCACACCCAAACGTCTGCAAGGAGTCTCAACTGTTTCTTCACTGGGTTTTCACCTTTCTTATTTAAGATATGAAATTTGTATTTGAAATTGGAGTTGTGTGGGAACAAAAACCTGGGGATCCTTTTCGAAGTGATTGTTTTGAAATATTTAGAGTTCTTTGTGCTGAAATACAATTTACTTTACATATGCTTGCTGAATATAGTTTGATGCTTAGCAATTTTAGGATCTAAGTTTTCCTTCTACTCATTTGTTCAACAATTGATGTTTTCTATCAGGCCATGAAATAGGCATTTGTTAAACAGTTGATCTTTTCTATCATGCCATGAAATAGGGTTTAATAGAAGCTATTCTGTGTATTTTAATCTATTGAACAATAAAATTCCAAACAACCTCAGTGGACTCTTCAAAGTCTATACTGTTTGAATGCCATGGCCATGAGTGAGCTTCTAGTATATGTTAGTGGTTTTAATGGCAGTAGATATGGTCAGTCGTCTTTTAGTGGCAGTTAGGCATAGAGATCATCAGATCACAGTTTTTTGCAGCTCACATTCTACTAAATTATTCTAACTAAACTTTCTAGTAAATTTTCATTTTCCCTTTTTCAATGATTTACTTATATGGTTGATTCAAGAAATTGTACAATTTATGACATGGATATAGCTAAAGTGATGGTAATAGAATCCCAAGTTTAACCTTGTTTGGAGAAATTGGACTGGGCCAACAAGACAGGCATAAATAAGTTAGAATGGATGAATTCCAAGCTCATTCCCGCCAAGCAACTTGGGGTGTCCTTGCAAACATGCATCTAAATTCGTTTATTTGGTTACTTGTTAGAAACGAGCGGAAAAAGCTATAGACATATGGAAACTCCCCTAGATCATGATCATCCTTGATAGAGGCCTGATTATGTATATTTGGCAGGTAAAACTGACAGGATGCATACACTGCAATTGAAATCTGTTCCCCTCAATCTGAACCTTAAGTGGATATTAATTATTAATGGGTATTCATTGGATTCACACTCAGAGATTCTGGGAATAGTAAAGGAATAGTTTTTTTCGTCTTCTAACCTTCATAGATATTATTTTGTTCAAGTTTCAGTACTCTCAATACATTCTTTTATGATAACTCTGGTGGAAAGGGAGCTTATCGACCAAAGGGATTCAACTGAATGTGCATGTGAAGTTAAAATCTATTGCAGTCATGTAAATTCTGATGTTACAATGTATTAGTGCAAATTGTTTAATCCTGATGGCCTCAATTCTGTTATAAAGCTGGTGCATTTTCTATAGTTCCTTGGCGAATATCTATGGTGTCCTAGACATATATTCCCTATTGGCTCTTCTGTGGCATGTTTTGATATTTTTATCTTGGAATTCCTTTCCCCTCTCGCAAAACTTTGAACTTTCTATAGACATACCCTCTGCAGTTGATTACAAAGATCTTTATTGATGCAAAGTACATTATTGCATTCCTCTAGCATTTCCAGACATTGATACATGCTGATTTTTAAAAAAATCATACAGCTGGTGTTTTCATCATCTGCTACAGTTTATGGATCGCCAAAGGAGGTTCCCTGCACTGAGCAGTTCCCACTATGTGCCACGAACCCGTATGGGCAAACTAAGGTGTGTCTGCTTATGGATTGCTTATCTATTCTATATCTCTACCTTATGCTCTGTATTCTGATATTGAGTTTTAGGGTGCTAAACTAGTTTGTTTTCCATTCCATTTATTTTTATAGCTTTTTATTGAAGAGATCTGCCGAGATATCTATCGTTCAGATTCAGAATGGAAGATTATATTGCTTAGATACTTTAATCCAGTGGGTGCTCATCCGAGTGGCTATATTGGAGAGGATCCTCGTGGAATCCCGAACAATCTCATGCCTTTTCTTCAACAAGTTGCTGTAGGCCGGAGACCAGCATTAACAGTATATGGCAACGATTATTCGACAAAGGATGGCACGGGGGTACACTGTCTCTTATTCATTCTGGAGAAATGAACTATTTGTTGATTTGTTCTGTATACCTGACTGAACCTTAGATAAATGCATCGGGTGTGGTTGTGGATTAAGTTGTTCTCTGTGTAAATCTGGCATTGATATCTGGAAAATTTACCTTTAATTGTGAATCCAATCAGCCTACTATTTGTTTTTTTCTGGATAAGAAATAAGCCTGCTAAGTTGTTGCCATACTTTCTGCATTATTGTTCACTTGCTAGTTGTTGCACATGTATGAATTGTGTCATACAATGTTATCTTCTTAATTGATTTTCTTTGAATCATTTGTGCCATGCTAAGGTTTCTACTGGAGTGTGAGTTAGAAGTTTGTCTGGTTGGTTAATGGGGAATGCCGTAATTTCTCTTAAAATTTTCTTCATTAGATTAGAAAGTAAAAATCTTTTCATGAGTTATTCCATTCGGCAGTATTTTCTTTAGATGTTTATAAGCGATGCTCCTGTTTTACGTTTCTCAGGTCAGGGATTATATTCATGTTGTGGACTTGTCAGATGGACACATTGCTGCCGTACAGAAGCTTGATGACCCTAGTGTAGGTATGGAAGTTGCTAAAGTTTCATGATTTATTGTATTCATCTCACCCAATTGCATAGCGAGTTAGATTGAGCTGATTCTTGCAATTTTGTGTGAGTTTGGAAGATGAACTTAGGGAAATGTATTGTGTTCAAGGCTTCAAGCACCGACAGTTTTTTAGAATTACCTGAACCATCTGTTTTTGACATCTGATGGCTGGGGTAATCCTCGAAAAGTGTAGGAAACAAAAGTGTTTGCATAGTATACGAATCCTAAGCATATGTATTAATCAATAAAAAAGGAAATTATTGTACATAATTATGGGATCAAAATGTATGTTATAAAATAATTTTATATACTTGTAAAAGATGCTGGAAACATACTTATTGTCCATATGATAATTATAAACATATGATTATAAGGGTATTATTGTCTGGTCAATGGTTCGGTCAGCAATGGAGAATGCTTGTCCTGTTGAATTCGTGACATTTTTGGTGGGACCCGCTCTCCCCCCACGTTCCAACCTAGTAATGGGCCAGGGATGGCTGCTGCGACCATATTGTTACATGATCATGCGGATCATAGTGCACTTTCCAAAGAAGTAAACTGGGGCAAACTCAGTCACTCTTCAAAATAAACTTCCCTGGTTTCAGTGTTTCCACCCATGTTCGGGTGGTTCATGCAAAAGAAGTGGGTGGAATTAAAAAAGTGAGTGGCCAAATGTACTCCCGTAGCAGAAATATGGATGGTTGTACCTGCCAAAAATTGGGCCTGGATAACTTTTTATATGCGGAATGTCTGATTAATGAAATTGCATGGACCGGTGTTCTAGACTATAAATTTGGTAAAGGATCATGTAGTGTTGTGCACTCACGAAGACAACTTTGACAGTTTCATCGTGGGGCAAGGTTTTTATGAGTCCACTGCCTCATCTATTTAAATGAGTCCTCTCTCCAAAAATCGATTTTGGATCTAAAATTTTAAAGATTTTAGAATCTAGACCATGATGAGCATGAATCTAAAAAAAAAAAAAAAAACTAAAAAGAAGAAGAAGAGTTTTTAAATCTAACTTGACTTTTTAAGTTTTGGTGGGGCTATTGTTCTTTAACATCCATCTACAAGATGGACGTTTGGCGTGTCAGGGAGCACTATTGTGGAAGTTCGTCCCATGATGCACGATTTCCTTTATCATGGCTACTTTCTATGCATAAAGAGTAAGAGTGATAGACCTGAGTCTCCATCGCATAGGTGAGAGAAGTCTGAGCATATGATTGAACTTATTTTTGACCTACAGGTTGTGAAGTATATAACCTAGGGACTGGAAAAGGATCCTCCGTTTTGGAAATGGTAGCGGCATTTGAGAAGGCCTCTGGAAAGGTATTCTACCTCTGGACTGCTCAAGTTATATCTGAATTTCAAAATATCAGTTCTTGGAGAGAATTAGCTGCGCCAATTCCTTCTCTGGTTTTTCAAAGTATATGACTTCCCAGAATCTCTCCTAGAATGAGTGACCACATTCTCTCTTGTTTTCAAAGAGAAGAAATGCCCAGATTCTCTCTCTAGTTTTAGGCCTAACTAATGTTTGATTGGTTTTAGAAACTAGGCCTAACTAATGTTTGATTGATTTTAGAAACTTCCTCTGGTTATGGCTGTTCGCCGTCCTGGGGATGCCGAAATAGTCTACGCATCCACTGACAAAGCGGCACGCGCATTGAATTGGACGTGAGCTCAATTCTCAATTATTGTTTCTTCCTTGTTCCTTTTTTATTGAATTTTTTTTGCTCAACCGTATATGTTTATATATGGAATTTCTACTGTTAAATGGTAGCAATTGGGTTTTGCAGAGCTAAATATGGGATAGACGAAATGTGCCGGGACCAATGGAACTGGGCGAGCAAGAACCCATGGGGCTATGGGTCACCTGATACCAACAACTCAAAAAGTTAACGTATAGCTCTAAAGCAAATTATACTATACACCAATGTTGTATGGTTTATAGTTTACTGCACATCGCAAGGGCACTTTTTTTTTGCTGGGTAGAATAATGGGGATTGCAGGGCCCTACCTGTTTGAATACGTTAGGGAGAACGGAGGCTGTGACCTTTAACTAGGGCACGGTGGTACCACTACGATGATCCCAGCCCCATTCTCAAAACAAGGGCATTCCATTTACCCAGATGGGTGCCCCATTGGGCTCGGTTATGGTTGATCTACACTCTCCCTATCGAGAATGGATGGCGGGCCCCTTTAGTGTACCACATACCCTGTCTTTAAAACAGATTCTTTATATCTTAGTTACTGAGATTGGCATCGTTTCGGGAACACATTTGTGTTACAAGTTCAAACCACGTCGATCGATAAAAAAGTGAAAGGATTTTCAAATCATTGTGATAATCATGTCTCAGGGACCACATCTTCTTGTGCAAGATTTTCAAGAGTGTTTTCTTTTTGAAAGCTATAGGATTACCTTGGGAAATGTTTTGAAAACCTATTATTACAAATTAGGAAAGAAGTGGAAATTTAAGAAACGTTAAAAAAACAAAAAAATAATTATGTTGTCCTCTACCTTAAAATTTTAGTCTGTATAAAGAAACTTAAAATAATTGAAAAGTGGCTGAAGAAAAACGGTCTCTGATGCCAAAGAACATATCTCTTTTCATTTCAAACTCTCATGATCTTTTGAAGATTCAAAGAACATGAAGTTATATATCAAGATCTTTTAACTGGTATTGTATTGCAAGTTATCAAAATGAAAAGAACCGGGTAAAAACTGATATTGAACCTATATTTCAGGCTGTTGCTCTGAAGAGGTGAGATTTATTTCTGCGACTGTAGCATTGTCAAGCAATCTGATATGCCTCATTCTACAGCCGTAATTCTTAATAAATATTATCA